TTAATTCAAATCGAGGTTGAGGTAACATGTCCTATTACCCTTTTCATTTGACTTTTCGTAAAAGTTATCTTCAGTTTAACGTCCATTCGATTTCAGTTGTTCACCTAGCAAAACTAATGAATCTCTTGTATCGGTACCTAGTAAAACTACTGTTTGACAATTCTGATTCCATATCAGCTGCCACAACTCGGAGCATTCCTTGGCCCAGTTAGCAACGATGTACTCATCCGGTCGATGGTAACCCTGGTAAGAAAACAAGTTTGTCAAATTAAAGCGCCAAAATAGTTGTGAAAACTGACATAATTCATTTGACCCTAGAAACTAGTAGAAGTTAAAAAATAAGCGGAACTTACGGGCAATGTGATGTACTCAGTTGGAGGAGTGCAAGATGGATTGTGGTGACATTCGCAGAGATCCTAAATTTGAATGTATTCAAATCTCAGAAAATTCCTCTAGTTCCTATTCATTTGGTCATTAATCTCCAATTCAGCCCCTAAACTCTGAGCTTACAGCCGTTTTGCGTCAGTATCATTAATCCCTCAATTTCTTCCAATTGCCCATTACCCTTTACGCCTCAATGCCCAATATTCCACAAATATCCCTTGCCCAAATTTCTGAACAACACTAACAAGCTCTAAAAGACAATCAAACCTCGTATTGCATCTGCATACGTGTTTTGCCATTCACATTTTCTTCTCCGAGGTAATTGAGGTATCTGGAAATGCTGAACATTTAACCTTATGAAGATGTTCTCTGTATGAAGGAGTTGGGTAGATGTACCTTTGGAAGAGATCAGCATGGACCCGTGTAATACCGTGACGGATAAGCTGTCGTACAGCTTCATGACAAAGCATATATTGCTCCTGGAATTAAATCAAAATAAAAATAACAAGTAGGCAGATAGATCGAGAATCTTTCTAATCCCAAAGAGTAGGTAGCGCCGTCAATTACCCAGGTAAATAGTAATTTAGCTGGCCCAGATTTTTTTTGCTTACCACAGTTTGGACGAGTTTCTCGCGTTGTCTACGCATATGGATTAGATGGCCCATAAGATTCAACT